TATATATATATATATATATATATATATATATATATATATATATATGTATATATGCATATATATGCCTATATATATATATATATATATATATATATATATATATATATATATATATATATATATATATATATATATATATATATATATATATATAACTGAACTCGCGATGTTCATTTCCTATCATAGCGTGAGTAATCTGAGCATACAGTATGTACTATAAGATTGTACACTACATACAGTATACAGTATTCGTTACTTACAACACAGACATGTCCATATGTTTTCTTTTCGTGTAAATTCGGCTTTAAAAAGAAACTACAAAACACATAGAATGGAAGATAATTAATCACCAAGCCAGCGACGGTCTGGGCAATAGCGTGGGTTGACCTAGCAAACTAGCGGAGTACTGTAGCTCTGTAGCTCAGACCCATTCGGGATTAATTACTTGAATTCTTTACTGGCGAGAATGGTTTAGTCCAAATAACGAGAAGAGCTATTCAACATCTCGTTCCAATTTAAGTGGGTGCGTGCGTGGCAGCAAACGGCCAAGTGATGTAGAACAAACGGCCGATAGACATATCGACCAAGAGCAACTACCTTCAGATCCACCAGCGAATGGTGGAAGACCAAGACGAACGGCCGCTATCTATCTATATATATATAGATATATATATATAGATAGATAGATATATTAAACTATGCTGAATATCATCCACTAGTTTAAAGTCCAGTAATAAGATTGCAAAGTTGCCAACTAATGCCTGCATTTGTCCCACGCTGACGCGCGGCCAAATCAACGCGGTGTCGTCACTGGTTGTACTCACGCGTTCATTCAGAAGGTGATTGTCATGGCGGAGACACAAAACAGCCGAGCGAAAGGGAAATCTCTAGGAAAGTATTGCGTTGCTGGTGGACCTGGAAATGTCAGTTGCAAAAATAATTCAAAAACCGAAGGAATATCGATGCATCGGTTCCCTAGCGATAATTTTGAACGGGCAAAATGGACTACGTTTGTCCAAAGGCATCGCGCACAATGGAAGCTATCTAGCACTTCGGTGCTTTGCTCGGCTCATTTTGTTCTCGCAGATTTTGAACAACGGCTTGATCTAAATCTACAAGACGCCGAAAAATTCACCACGAAAAGATGGCTGAAGAAAGGCTCGATACCAATGTGGATTGCGTTGTTTTAGAGCCACAAGCCCAGGAGATTTCCGCTCGTGAAAGAAGACAGGTATAAATAATTATGCATAAATTGTTTGTGTGCGCCATCTTACATTATTCATAACATAAATAAAACAATTTTAATAATTTTTAACAATATTGTAGAATTTTACAGTATAACATCTAATAATACAAAAGAAAAAGTTAATTTCGGAACATTTTACATTTAAAACTCATTGCAGTTAAAAGATCTAAAAATAGTTCTTGATAATTCATAATTTGGAACGTAATTCATAAAATGTACAAGTCCAGCGTTAACGCCTTTAAATTGCGCAATTGCTTAAAAAACCTCTGCTGTAACAGAGTTTAATTTGAACTCGTCTATATGTTCATCTTTCGCACGAAATGGCGATCTAAATCCTCTCGTGCACAAATGCACTGATTTCAATATTTCGAAAGACAATCTTGTTCTGATCCAGGTAATAACTGTTGCGTAATCTTCTCCGTTTTTCCTCGACAATTTCTCGGCAAGATGCTTTAAGAATTTCTGGCATTCGTCTCCAACTCCTCCATTCGTTCCAAAGACTAAAGGCGTAAAAGTTCCCATTTCCACGTCTAAGATTCTCTGTTGGTACTTTCTTTTCTTCTCGGCTTCTTGTTCCTTAAAGATATCAGATGTGGCTTTGTTTTGATGACATTGGGAGTTTACATGCGATACACGGACGTCAAAAAATGATGTAACTCCTCTTGCCCAAAACTCGCCAGCTTTGATATCCAATCGCGCATCCGGGCTTCTGTTGGTGGACTGTAAACGGAATTGTTCATTGTCCAATGGCATGATTTTCGGTTCGGCTTCCACGTTGTTGCATACTCTGCTGAGCAGCGTGGTCAGTAATTCACGAACACCGTCATGCCTTCGGGCCACAAAACCTCCTCTTTTACACGATAATGCGTGGTTGACGGAAAATGCAGACCCACAAACGCAATGACTTGGCAAGTCGGGCAATGGCATGCCATACCGCATTCTTATCGAATCCTTAAATTCTTCTTTGTTGAGGGTCAAACCTTGTTCTTCAACCGGTATAGCATTTAACCATGAGCTTGCTCCTTTATCCCGCGCTTGTTTAACAAGAAGTAGGAGATCGGCTGGGAGAGACTCGTCGATACGTTCTCTTTTTGCATTGGCATTTGCCCTCTTGATTGACTGCTGTTCGTTTTTATCTCATTAGTGATCTCTGGCATGGAAGTGCATTGCGATAATATTGCCTCCACATGTGGACGTGTTATTGACGTCGATGCTGCGTACTGTTGTGGCGCTTCTTCACTTAATGCAGGTATCCCTAAACCTCCTTGTGCAGGGGACAGTGTGATAACTTCGTGCAATTCTTCAGGCAGAGGCTCTTCTTGGCCGAACAAGGCTGGGAGAAACAACTCACTTATGGCTTCCTCGATAGGGTTAATATAATCTTCAAAGGAGCTTATCGTTCGCATAAAATATGTAAACTTCGATTTGAAGCCCTTTGTGAAAGCAACATAGGCTGAATGAGGTTGACTTTTTGCAATATCACTTAGTGCTTCGATTTCTTCTCTCCAACTGTTGACCTTTTCGTTGCAGTACTCTTCTTTGTAATTTGTAGAACCAATAACTGCGCCCAGATGTCGCCTTCCTTCAGTTGTTATTTTCACCTCTCTTCCAAACACCCGTTCTGCTTCTGACGCCAGAAGTTGTGATTTAACAATCAGCCAGCTCTTAGAACCGTTTACATGGTATCCATACTTCAAGCCTTCTTCACACAGATAACGATACCAACTATAGAGCGCTGCAATCGTTCCTCCCCCTGCTGAGTCATCAGCCAACC